GTCCCTCGAGTTGCCTTTCGGTAAATGATCGTGTCCCTCGATGTTGCCTATATGATGACAGTTCCTTCAAAATGCTAAGATATCTTTACATGTTACCTTCAATGATCATAGTTTCCCTTTCGATAGTCCCTCCACATCCAACGATAGGGCTACCTACTCACTAATAGTAGGATAGCACTATCTAAATGAAAGGAGGAAAATAACATTCTTTTTCGAGTAGGTAGATAACTCTTAGGTACTTGCTCAAGAACAACTTTTTCACACTTACACACTTTCAAAAACTACTTTCAAAAACGCTTTATCACACTCTTGAGGAATAATACAAGAGTTACCATAAAGCAAACAAAAATCTTTCAAAACACACAAACAGTTTTCAAAATGAGCAAGTACCTAAGAGCCCGTGGAAAACCACAGATGGAAAGGTTGTTAATACCTTCCCTTTCCATAATCTACCCCCTTACTCAGAAAATCTCGAAAAAGGTCTTTTTCTGTTCTTTTCACCCTTTCCTTTGTTGGATAAAAGAAAATTCGGTGACGACTCTTTCTTACCGCGACATTTGCGAACAAAAAACGCAAAACCAGTATTAAACAGTCGGTTATGACATTGTATCACATCCACCATTAATTCTTATCCTAAGGAAGGGAATATAACAGATAACCCTAATTTGATCATAGATTCTAAGTTATTGACTCGTATTTAGACGAATGGAAGGTATTAGGCACCCCTCATCTACCTTGTTCACAAGTATACTAGGGCTTAAATTTACGGTTTAGGAATAAGTTTTAATTTTAATTAGGGGAACTCGCCACGATTTTAAGTCGTATGCCTACGTATCCTCTTATGAGTAATCAGAGTCCTAATTCACAGTTCGTAGTTATTTGGTTAGTTTTTTTATGGATTATGGAAATATCTCGAATTCTCCTTAAACCAAGTCTGGATTTGTGAATAACGGAATTTGTTGACGAAGTTCACAGTCGATAAAAGAAGTTTCCATAATCCTTTTTTGAAAATATATAAGTTTGAATTAGGTTAGTAAGAAAAGGTTAGTGTTTGATTAGTTAGATATTTTCGAATGTACGTCGTAATTTTGAATGAAAAAAAAAATTTAATGCAACTAATTAGGGTTAGTATTTTTTGTAAAAAAAAGAGTTTAAAATAATAAATAAATAATTTTATAATTTATTAAAAATAAATTAAATACTTTTAAAATATTGATTATGCAAAATGATAGAAAATACATAAATAAATAAATGAGATTATAAAAATAAATTAAATTTATTTATTAACGCATGGGGGGTGCAAAATTAGTTTAGGCAGTAAAACCCGGAAGTGTAAATAGCAGGGCCTTAAATACAAATATTGGATTTAGGCCCAAAACGCATGGGGGTGAGGATTTGCGTGTGGTAATGAAACAAATTGCGATGGGGGGTTAGTTCAGCAATGAGCTAGGCCTAAATGCAACTGTGGAGAGTCCATTGGATTTGGTACGTGCGCATATATGGAATTATGATGGGGATGCGCTATTGGGATTGTTTGATTGTGATCAGAGGGCCATAAAGGGTGGGCCTATTTTAAAGGTGTAGGAATGCAAGCTCTGGATCATGAGGGAGTTATATACAAGAACCAACAGGGCCAGAGGCCCATTTTCTCCCTTCCTCTCTCTATCTTTCTATGTTATTCTTCAAACAGAACAAAATTTTAGAGAGAGAGAGAAGCGAGTCTCGCTTCTCTCTAGGCGATCAAAAATTTCCCCACCCACCGGAAATCGCTTCCCCCTAAGGCTTTACCCTTAGCCACCATAGATAAACCCAGCAACACCGTTGACCTTCATCTGGGTTCATATGAACCCTAACAATCCTACAATCCTCAAGAACCTTGGCAGTTATTCAAACCTAGAAACGTAACCCTTTAGAACCCTAGGCCAACCCCAAGAACTCTAACCCTAAGAACATGAACCCTAACCCAAATACTTGAAGAACTCTAAGAACCCTAACCCTAGTATTTTTCCAAAAACCACAAAATCAAACATAAATTACAGAGATTCACATATTACAACCCTAAGCTAAGTGTTAATCAAAATACCTCTATAGCTACGAGTCTTTGAGTTTATTTCCTCTCCTGATTTCTCCAATTCTCTTTTGATTCCTCTTCTCTTTTGTTTGTAGGTACGGTGTCTATGATGGATTGAGAGGACGAAGCCTTTGAAGATGATAACGACACCACAGATCTAGGGTTTCAGAAATGAAACCCATATCTCAACTTTTCTTCTTCTTTCGTTCTTCGTTTGTCCCCCACTTTTTTCTCCTCCCTCTTCTTCTTAGTTCTTAGGGTTTATATAGTTTAGAAATTAGATAGATTAGGAATTTTTTTGTTAATTGTCATTACAGATTAATGATTAGAGAAGATTATGATGAAGATTTGATCAAAAAAGATTATAATTGATTTTGTACTGTAAATTTGAGATTTGTTTTGATTTGATTTATAAACTGAACAATTTTTGTATTGTAATAGAAGATTTGATACGATTAGATTTGTTTCTGGTTCTCTACAATAATTGTTTTTTTCACTTCTTGGTCCACCACTGAGTTTGATCAATTAGGGTTTCAAAACCCTCGGTTGAGTGACAATATCTGTGAAAAAACCATTTTATATTTCTACTTTTTGTTAAGTGACAAAACCAAAACCAAAACCCCAAATTAAGATTTTGTTTAATTGAACTACGAATTTAACAATGATTGCAAGCAGTCCTTGAGATCGATATCTTGGGAATTTCCCATTATTACTGCAAGGCAAAAATAGTACACTTGTTATTTTTCCTATCATAGTGCATGTTATTATTCGTCTTGTTTCATTTATTGTGACCTCCAATGTACTTTTTGATGTTGATGGTCGGGTTTTTCAAGGGTAGCACTATATCTTTTGATGCAATAAACTCCACCTCTCTTCTAATGTCACTAGTAGTAGATTTCGAGCCATGTCCTTGAAGGATTTTGTTGCACATGCAAGTTTTCTGCATTTTATCCATTTCCTGGTTGTTATTCGTCTTATTTCTTTTATTGTGTTGATTTCCTTGAGCTTTGTTGTGAGCATTGATGTTGTTTCTTTTGCCAATAATTTTGGTGGATTTTAAGGCCTCTTCATCATTCATGTTAGTTAAGTGACATTTCTTATTACTCTTCTTATGTTAATTCACGTAATCCTTTTGATATCTGTGATTCTAGATTACCACTGTTATTGATTTACAAAGTTCCAATTTAACTCACCTTCAGGTTGATGCTTGCCTCATTGCTCGTATTCAGGTTTGTTTTCTTACCATGATAATCATCTCAAACTTGGTTATTAGTCCTCTTATTAATGTGATTATTTAGACAGATTCCCTTTTTGTCAATGTTGTTGTTATTAGTGGATCTTTTGAATCCCTTGTTGAAATATTTGGAGAGGAAGTTATTGTTGTTGTCAGTGGCTCTCTTGATAGCTTCTATCACCGATATGCCTTTTTGATAGAAAACTAAATTGTTTCTTGTCTTCCAAATAATGTCAATTATACTTATGAATCAGGTTTGGGTTTCATCATTCATCTTGACAATGTTAGTTTTCATCCTTCATCTTGACAATGTTAGTTTTCGTTCATGTTGTCATTAAACTTTAAGATAATTAAGATCCAAACCAAAGTTGTCTCACTCACCAGCACTTGTTGATACAATGATCTATAGATTCCAACTAATTGTTACATCTACGATATATGATATCTCTAAGATTCTCCCTAGTGTTTAAATTATTTTTGACAATGATAATTTCGCTCAAAAATCTCCATAAGAGATATTTTTGCGTAGGAGTAATATTGTTGCTGCAAAATGTCGACCATACATTCTCCTCTTAATTTCTATTAGAACTCTCTATGGAATTCACTACAAAAAAAGCTCAAGTTGCCAGGTGATTATCACCTCGCAAATGTAAAAAACAAAAAACATTAGTTGCAAAACAAAAACCTATTATTAAAATATGTTTTCAAAATTAATAATAACATAAAACCTATTATTAAAAAACAAAAATATATAAAATAATATATGTAAAATCTGTTTTTAAAATAATAATAAACTAAAAAATGAAATTAAAAATATTATAAAAACTATTTTAACATGATTAAGAAATATCAGTTTATAACCAAAAATTTCTAACCTAAAAATCAGATGAAATAGACTTGATGAAATTCTTCAAACCTAAAAATCAGATGAAATAGACTTGATAAAATTCTTCAAGAATAAATTCCGTTAAGATTCGATGAATTTTAGTTTTGTTTATGTTTGTGGAGATTTAATTTGATGGAGGTTTTGAGAGATTTTATATGGTGAAGAAGAAGGTTTAAGAGAAAATAGGTAAAGAGAGAAATGAAGAGTTTCTGAAATGTGGAGGAAGGGGGTTGGGGCGTTGGCATATATAGGAAAGTTGCAGTCTGAAAAACATCCCGCAACTTAAAGATTTGTTCAGATTAGCATAATAGATTTCACCTTGCAAATTTTGTGTCAGAATAAAGTGTTGCGGCGTGAAAATAACCCTACAAATTCTGAATAATTCAGAACGTCCACCTACCATCTGACCTCTTAATAAATGGCTTGGGTAAATTTTTCCCTAACTTTTTAAAAAAATTTTGCAAAGTATTTTTCATCTAATAATTTATTTTTCAAAAATTTAAATTTTCGACCTATAATTGCGAGGTAAAAAAATAACTATATTTTTCCTCCATAATTAAAATGACCGAATTGCCCTTACTTATTAGAGGAATTACAAAACACCCAGTATTTTTGACCAGTATGTAAGGTGTAAGTGTGATAGTGGGCGTTAAAATGTCATTTATGTTTATCATTACACAAAAAAATAGCTTTAATAATTTTCCAGGGGCATGCATAACAGCAGCACGTGGTTGGTCACGTGGTATCTCACATCTAGCTATAAATAAGTGATTAAATAGTTATAGAAATCATTCATCCAAAAACTAAAGATGAGAACTGCTCTTGCATTGTTGCCTCTCTTTCTTCTCTTGGTATGTTTCCCTTTTCTTGAATATACACAATTATTGTCCTTTAATAGTATCTTCTTTCATTAAAATAAATTTAAATACTAGTAGTACCCTCTAATGCTTAAAAGAAAAATAGCACTCTATACCATCTAATATTACATTTAATTGCACAATTAATTGTTTGTTCAGGTTTTGTGGACGATTTTTTACACCCTCCTTCGAATATTTTTTATTTATTTAGTTTTTTAAAATTATTAATTTATAAATATTAATCATTTATTTACACATATGATATCTTGTTTATAAAAAAAGAAAACTCAATCATAAGTTCAAATCTTGATTTGTAATGTTTATCGGAGCCTAGCAAAAGCTTCTGTATTTTATCCTAGCCACAAACACAAATCACAATATTGCTCCACTTTTTCTTGTTTCATTTATTTTTCTTGTTTATTGCCATAAAGACTGTAGCAATGGTTGAATCAAGAAAAGATCTAGGAGAATACTGGAAGCTGGTAATGAAAGACCAAGCCATGCCTGAAGAAATTCAAGGACTTGTCAACACCAACACTAAAAGCAATTTCAACACTAAGCAGTCATTTGGTGATAAGAGAGCCCTTGAAAATTTTGAACCAAGACCAAATGCTTCTGCTTATGGAAACAATGACATTGGTGCTGAATTCACTTAGCATTTTTAGCCAAGACCAAGTCTCACTAAATATGATGCATAAATGTAATAGAGTGCAACTTCAATCTATATATGATGATGGAGTATATTTAAATAAGTCATTGCTACTTCATGTTCAATGATTAGTAAGTATGTTTGATGTATTTATGTATTTAAGCTTTTTGAATAATTGTTGTATTCTTGTGAGGTTAATTAAGAGATTGCTAGTGGAATTTCCGGTTGTTTGCTAAACTTTATTCTTGTTTTCTTAAACTTAAACTCAAGAACTTAACTATTGTGTTGATATGCTGAATTGTATGCATGAGTTTCATGTTTTATGTGCTTAGTGTACTGATGAGAAATTAAGATAAAATAACAAAACAATACGTAGTGGATATAGAATTCTTCACATTTGTAGGAATTTTGAGGATCAACAATAAAAATAAGATAGTAAATCGAACAAATAAAGGCATAAAAGAACACCGATATTTTTAACGTAGAAAATCCATCAATATGAGAGTAAAAACCACGAGTCGTCCAGACCAAAGAAAATAGTTCTACTATAATCAATTGAGAATACAAGAGAGACTTAAAATGATTTACCAAATAGTGATAACAACCACAAATTACAAAGCAAACTAACTTACAAATAAGAATAAAAAAAACTGAAATTTTTTCCAAATCTGCGGCTTCAGTGTGAAGCAGATATCTCTCACCTCATACTTTTTCTTGAAGATCCCAATAGTCAAAAGTTAGATACAGGTGTTGTGAATCTGTCCTCCAAATTTCAGCTTGATCTGACGGTGAACGAATCGGGGATCGTCAATTTAGTGAGACTGTTATAGAAAAAACGAAAATGAATTTCTCTCATCTTTTCTCTCTTTTGAATTCTTATTTTATCTCTAATTTTCTTAACCCTTAATTGTCACTCTCCACTTATATAAGTGAGACAAATGGACTACTCATATTTGAGTCTTTCTCCATATAAGAAATGTTCTCAAGCCCAACAAATCTCCCCCTCACAACTAAGTGCAGGAAATCGCAAAACCGACGATATCACAACAAACTTTAAATTTCCCTCTTGGTAACGCTTTAGTCATTATATCAGAACCATTATCATCTTTATGAACTTTATCTAATTTCAACAACTTAGCATCCAAAATATCAAATATCCAATGATATCTCACATCAATGTGTTTGAACCTATTATGAAAAGTCAGATTCTTACCAAGATGAATAACACTTTGACTATCAACAAATAACACATATTTGTCTTGAACAAAACCAAGCTTCTGCAAAAATTTATTTAACCAAAATAACTCTTTGCATGTTTCGGTAATGACAATAAACTTAACCTCTGTAGTAGACAATGCTACACACTTTTACAATCTGGATTATCAAGCCACAGTTCCCCCTGTAAATTTAATCATGTAGTCTGAAGTGGACTTTCCGGAATCAATGTCTCCAGCCATATCAGAGTCAGAGTATCCCACTAGAGTAGGCTTATCTCCTCCAAAATAAAGCCTCATTAAATTAGTACCGCGGAGATACCTTAAAATCTATTTTACAGCATTCTAATGCTCTCTACCTGAATTTCATAAAAATCTATTGACTGTACTAACAACACGTGTTATATTTGGTCTTGTACATACTATTCCATACATCAAACTACCCACAACAGACGCATAAGGAACACATTTCATATCAAACGCTTCATCTTCACTTGAAGGACTTTTATTAGAACTCAATTTAAAATGTGTAGCAAGAGGAGTGCTTACCGCCTTAGAACTTCCCATTTGGAATCTTTGTTTCACTCTTTTGATATAATGTTCTTCTGACATCCAAAATTTCTTCTCTTTTCTGTCACGCATGATTCTAATGCCAATAATCTGTTTAGTTGCTCCCATGTCTTTCATGGAAAATGACTCTCCTAACTTCTTCTTTAACTTGTTAATGTTAGAAAAAAAATTCCCTACAATAACCATATCATTAACATATAACAATAGGATAATAAATTCATCATTAGAAAATTTTCTAACAAATACACAATGATCTAAAGTAGTCTTCTAGTATCCTTGATCACACATAATAAACTTAAATTTCGTGTACCATTGCCTTGGAGCTTGCTCCAACTCGTATAGACTCTTTCTCAATCTTCAAAAATAATATTCTTTGCCTTTAACTTGAAAATCATCAGTTTGTTTCATTTAGATCTCTTCCTCTAAATCACCATGAAGGAAAACTTTTTTCACATCCATTTTCTCAACCTCTAAACCAAGAACAGTAGTTAAACTCAACACGGTTCTGATTGATGACATATTTACAACATGTGAGAAAATCTCATTAAAACCAACACCCTTTCTTTGACGTAAACCTTTCATCACTAATCTGGCTTTATATCTTGGAGACTTAGAATTGCTCCCATGTTTAACTCTATAAATTTACCTGTTTCCCAAGACCCTTTTACCTTTAAGCAACTTCACTATATCATAAGTTTGATAATCTTCAATAATTTCATCTCGTTATGCATTACATTCAACCACTTTTGATTTTCATCACTTTTCATGGCCTCTTGAAAACACTCAGGTTCACCCTCATCAGTCAAGGTCATATACTCATAAGAATTATACTTTGTAGAAGGTTGTCTATGCCTGATAGACTTCCTAATTTAAACTTGAGATGACTCTGGAGCCTCACCAGGATTCTCATCTTGTGTCATATCATTTTCCACTTCATCATCATCATTAGTTGGAATATTTACCTCTTCTCCAAGTTGTTGATCACCAACATAATCATATGGATCAACATTATGATCATTACCACCGATAACATCTAAATTATAATTAGGCAACCTAATTGAATCAACATTAGACAAACTGATATCTTTCTTGAGTGTAGTCTTCTCTACCTTATCATTGTCTTCAATATTTTGGTCTTCCATAAATACTACATCGCGGCTTCATATAAGCTTCTTCCTTACAAGAGCATACAACCTGTAACCAAATTCATATCGCCCATACCTGATGAGTATACATTGTTTTAACTTTGCATCCAACTTGAATCTTTCATCCTTTGTAATATGCACAAAATTCTTACCACCAAAGACTCTCAAATGATCATACTTTACATTCTTTCCAAACCAAATCTTGTCTGAAACTTCATTTTTCAAAGCAACAGCAAGAGTGAGATTAAGAATATGCACCACTGTGTAAAGTGCCTCACCCCAATAATTATTTGGCAACTTAGCTTCAGAGAGCATACACTTACTCTCTCAATTAGTGTTTGATTCATCCTCTATGATAAACCATTCAATTGAGGAGTTTTAGGAGGAGTCTTTTCATGTGCAATACCATGATGCTTGCAATAGGCATTAAATGGTCCACAATATTCACCACCATTATCAGAATGAACACATTTTAGCTTTTCACCTGTCAGCCTCTCTATCAAAGCATGTAATTCTTTGAACTTCTCCAACACTTGGTCTTTTTTCTTCAAGGAATAAACCCATAGTTTCCTGGAACAATCATCAATAAAGGTAACAAAATAAAGTGCACCACTTAAATATTTTACCTTTAATGGTCCATAAACATCAGAATGTACCAATTGAAGCAACTTTGACTTCCATGAGGAAGGATGTCTCTTAAAAGACACTCTAGTCTATTTACCAGCCATGCAATGAGAGCACTTCTCCAAATATGCATTCTTTAATCTAGGAAGAATATCCTTTTTGGCCAAAATATTCAACCCCTTTTTTCACTAATATGACTAAGTCTTCGGTGCCACAAAGATGCTTTCATGTCGATAGAGTTCACACTGTCCCTAGTAACCAAAGCTTTTCTCCAATATAATTTATAAAGCTTCCCCCCCCCCCCCCCCCCCCTCTAGCCACAACCAAGTTACCTTCGTTGAGTTTCCACTTTCCAAAACCAAAGTGATTGTCATAACCATAATCATCAAGTATATGCATATAGATCAAATTAAAGCGGACATCTGGAGCATGTTTGACACCTCTAAGTAGCAACTGCGTTCCCATGTTGGTTTGCAAACAATCATCACCAACACCAATTACCTAAGATACACCACCATTACCCATATTTAACACTCCAAAGTCACCAGAAGTATAAGATGTGAAGAAACCCTTCCTTGGTGTAACATGCAATGTAACACCACTGTCAACTATATGTGTGCTCTCATCTGGTACAATATTAATAGACTCATGATCACGTAGAACAACAAGATCAATACAAGTAGCAGTAGTAACATGATCATCATCATGATATTCATGATCTTTTTGTTTAGACTTACCTTTCTTACTTTTGTTATCCCTTTTCCACTGATAATACTTTTGTATATGTCCTATTTTGTGATAATAATGACACTCCATATTCTTGTATCCTAGCTTGGACTTGCTTCTGATATTCTCTCTACCACCCTTAGGTTCCTTTTTTCGACTTATCCCCTATTTTCAGTTACAAGTACCCCGTATTACGATGAAGAACCTTGTGCCTTCCTTCTCATCTCCTCATTAAGAATACCACCCTTACCAGTTTCCAAAGAAATAACACTTCTAGGAGAAGAACTTGTAATAAAAACCTGAAACGTCTCCCAAGACTCAAGTAAAGATAACAATAGGAGTAATCCTAAAAGTCCATCATCAAATTCGATACTCATTCCTGACATCTGATCAAGGAGACCTTAAAATTCATTATAGTGATCTAAAATAGAATTCGCCTCCTTATACTTCAAACTTATGAAGTTATTCAACAAGAAAATTTTATTATTCCCTGATTTAGAGGCATGCAAGGACTATATCTTCTCCCACAAAGTTTTTTCATGCGTCTCATTAGTAATATGATTATAAACATTATCTTCTACATATTATCGAATAAAACCATATACATGTTGATGTTTAAACTCACATTCTTCACCAGACACATAATTCAACTTTACGGAAATAAAAATCGGGTAAATGCAATTTCTTCACAAATAATAAGTCTTTCATCTTTCCCTTCCATATATGAT